TAAACCTGCTTCCACTCGACCTCAATCAACTGATGTTTTCGTTCAACCTGACTCACGATTTAGTACACACGTTTTCATTCGTCGAGACTCGCATCGACGACCATTCGAATCAGCATGCGAAGGACCCTTCAAAGTTCTTCAACGTGAATCTAAGTACTATATAGTCGACAAGAACGGAACCAACGATAGCATCAGTATCGATCGCTTAAAAGCAGCGTATTTAGAAGGAAATCCTATCTACGTGGATCTTCCTTCGGTACAATCGAACGACACGACTCCGACACTTATAATACCTCATCCGACAACCAACACACACGATGATACTTCGACAGTATCCGAAAATAAACTTAAAACGACGCGTTCTGGAAGAAGGGTGAGATTTCCAGAACATTTAAATGACTATTACACGTAAGGCACTTCTCAACATTTTATATTATTTTTTATTCAAAAAACAATAAAACAATTTTAATATGCTTATATATTTTAATTTCTAGTTAAAGAAAAACAAAACAAAAAACAATTTTTTTAACGCTATTACGTGTTCATGAGTTTATTTTCCATTTTTTATCCGCCGACATTGTGTTTTTACGCACACACGAGTGTATTTCGACATGCACTTACATTTTCTTTTTTCTTTTCCAGGACGGCTGGAAAAGAACGATGACGTTTATGAGGATCCGAAATTTTCATTGTACATTTTCTTTCTTTACTATGTTGTACCTCCGTCCAATATAGTAAGGAAAGACGACCAGACGCTGCTAAATTTAGTAAGCTATAAGAAGAGTGTTTACCAACGACAAACTTGTTGGGTTTAAACTTCTGGCTGGCCACGTCTTAGGGTCGTCACTGCCCCACTAGGGGGGGGAGTGATTTGTAGCGGTAAATAAATCCCTAAAATAAATAGCTCTGTAAGTTTTCGACATTGGATGCTGACCATATGTTTTAGTGGACTCATCTAGCTGAAGGCGCTCGGTCAGGCACCCGCACCAGATCACGTGTGGTAACGCCGTGCTCAACATCAATCGCAATCGCTAGCCAGATTAGATCAGAGAATTCCGATATATTGGTCATCGCCAAATATACTCTTCCGATCTCCTCGACTCTGTCTTTTGATTTCTCTGGGTGGGAATGAAATACATTAGAAGGTGTTACTGGTAGAAGCGTTGTCAAATACTGAATACCTGTGACATCATCAACTGTTTTTAAATGAGCGCGTATGTGTGTGCTCTTATGGAGTTAGCTTACCCGCCATCTCCACTGCGCGTCGTTTCTCTTCGCTCTATCCCATTCGCTCCACATACAAAATATATGTATTAAAAATTCCATTCTCGTTATTTGGCTTATTTAATTCCGTTATTGACTAACTCGATTTAAGTTGATGATTATATACGAGGATGGGCAACATATGCAGTTTGACAGCAACCATTCAATAACAATCATTCGTACGATCTAATTGGAGTAAAATCTCGAGCCACTAAAACCCAGTGTCTTGAAATAGCCATTGTCGATTAAAAATAGCAAGAACAGCACCAATTCTGAAGGCCTAGAAAGCTACTTATTTTAAAGAAAGTCTTACCACCAGATCGTCTTCATTACTTGTTAGTGTGGACGTTACTATAAGGATGAAGTAGATGGTTATATATGCTTATCAAGCTTCTAATTTCTGGAAACGTTTTCGTGGAACACTGAAAGATAAATTCTATCTACCGTCACTTAGCGGATTACTTCCGCAAAGGAAGCAGGACAATACACAGTACTATCCAAAATACACAATGATGATTCTGCCAAAAGAATGAATTCCATTACTTTGTAAAAGTTCGTTTAAGGAGTGAATACCAAGTATATTAAATTGAATTTCTGAGTAAAATTGTGTACTGTAAAATACGTGTAGACGTTTGAAGACACAATAAATTAATTTTTCAATGGTGAAGCGTTTTTAATGGATTAGGCACTTCAGGCATCAATCAGCTGCTGTTGTTTAAGTGCCTACTTGACTCCCACCATTTTGATTGGCGATTTGGTTTGAAGAAATGGCTAGGACGAAACAAACCGCAAGAAAGTCAACTGGTGGCAAAGCACCGAGAAAACAACTTGCAACCAAAGCTGCACGCAAGTCTGCACCATCAACGGGTGGTGTAAAAAAACCTCACCGTTATCGTCCAGGGACTGTTGCTCTGCGAGAAATCCGTCGTTATCAAAAGTCCACTGAGTTGCTGATACGAAAGTTGCCCTTCCAAAGATTAGTTCGCGAAATCGCTCAGGATTTTAAGACTGACTTACGTTTTCAGAGCGCTGCAGTTGGTGCTCTTCAAGAAGCAAGTGAGGCATATCTAGTTGGTCTGTTCGAAGATACAAACCTTTGTGCGATTCATGCTAAAAGGGTTACAATTATGCCGAAAGATATCCAGTTGGCTCGCCGCATTCGAGGAGAAAGAGCTTAAATTTTCATTCTAATAAATGTTAACTTAATTTCTTGTTCGTTCTATACGTAGATGGGGATCAATATGTCTTCTGTTAAGCGTAAGGATTCTTAAAAATCCTTACGAGATGAATTCATCTCGTAACGGTCTAAATACTTGCCTAACGTGACATTAATAAGAGCGCACTATGAAGATCTGACTTATTAGTATGTCGGATCTCTTTATATTTGGGACATGGAGCTCGGAGAATAAAGGTCTATTCCTGGTGATGCTTATTCGAAAGTGTAAAATGCCATCTAAGCGGTCATAGATTAATGGAGGTATAAGTTGTCGTTTATGTGCTCGCAATCCCTTTATGTAGTGAGAGGCATCTGGTGTTCACGGCAATTATCACGGGATGGGCGTCCATTTATTTGGTCCGAAGACAGGCAGATAATAGTAACCCATGTAAATGTTTGTTGGTAAATGTCAAGGCCGGCGTTTGTGTTTTAGGTGCCACTATGAGAGCGTAGTCAGGACGTTTACCACAAGGTAGTTGCCGCACACAATATTGCGGCCCCATTGTCACACGTGGTTTGGAGGTTAGTAGGGTTTTCCCTTGTTTGCACAGTCAGTATTGTCCTCACCTGTTGTTAGTTTCAAGCCGAATGCATAACTCGCTCAGCAGTAACCGGGAGCTTCGTGTCTAAATTAGTTCAAGGAGTTTCATGTTTGAGAGCTGGATCCCAATCTCCGGACTTGATTGGACTACCAGGAATGGGATGTGTGCGGTCGAAAGCAGGTGATACTATGTCTTATAAAATGAGAGGGTTTAGTGGCAATCAGTCTTGCTTAGGTCCGTTCAATGCAATCCAGCTTATAATTGCATCGATGTAGATGGTTTCTTATACGCGGTGTGGGTGGCAGTTGTCGCAATCGTTTCTGAAGTGATATATAATTTAGTATGAGCTTATGTGGTGGCAGCATTTTTCCTTAACTTTTTGAGTATCACGCTGAAACAATATTACTGCGTCGTGCTGAGTGACTCATATTCAAAACTTCGTGGTTTTTTACACTTTAGATTCTAGATCTGTATATTTAGTCATCAATACTAAACTTGTGCGGGATATAAAACAATGGAGGACCAACATTTTTGTAACGTGCTTGTTGAAATGTAGTTAATTTCTGAGAACAAACTAGTATTTACATGGAACTCAAATGTAATCCGCCGTTCCTCTCCTCGGTGTTATTGACACGAAATTAGATGTCACCCTCTCGGGTGAGGAGTTCACTCGACATTTTGCCGAAAAATCATGCAGGCAAATAATTGCGTACGTCATTTTAATAGCACCTCCTTTCAAGAATCTGGAAATTATTGGATAAGACAGTGGAGACGCTCGTCCCATGGTGTTCAGGTGTGAAAACGCAAACGATGGGAAACAGGATAGACATATCAGAGGGAACGGATATCATGTAATGTGGTGAACTAAGTGGTAGGGACTGGACAGTGTGGTACACAAATGGTGCAGTTGTTGACTGATTACAAAAATAGATGAACACCTAAAAAAATTGTACAACTAGGTACTAATTCATATATCCTATATTATCTATCCCAGGTGAAGTTATATATCATGATAGTCCTGATGATGAGCAATAACTACGGCATATAGAGATAGACCAGATCTTAGTCACGACCAAAGGATGCTCAAGTACATATACTGGTCGAAGAGTAGTACGAACTTATAAGTAGCATTAATATTTACATACAAGTGGTTATAATATATACTACCGACTAAATTAGCACTCTCTTCCCAGATAACTAAAATTCAAATGAAGTAGACAATTCAGCATCCACTTACGTGCGAAGTACTTGGCTGAGTACAACTATGCCATTAAGAGACCCTGGATCATACGAACACCACGACCTGAATATTTAGGCGAGTAATTTGAGATGCGAATATAAGGCGTAACTAGTGAGCCGTGATGTGTAATCTTGCATTTAGACATTGACGATATACTTACATGAAGAGACCAGCTGGTCATTCTACAATAGACAAGAAGGTTAAGCCACTTTAGTGAAAATATGAACGCTCAAGCAACGGCATAGTGTTATGGAGAATCACTATCGAGGTTATGCAATAAATAGCGTATAGAATTCCCAGATGTACCCTACTCGCCATTTACATTTTTTAAGCGAACGAAGTTGAATAAACCCACTTGATAAGTTAACGCTGGGTAAATATGTTCCCTAGTCACCAATTAATAGAACTAAAGTGGCTGTTAAATCTAGCAATTACCACCACTATAAGCATTTTGATCTGATCCAATAAGCTTGTTAATCGTATAAATATATGGTATTCAATGAAACCGTTAGTGACCTTTGACAAGAACTAAGGGTTACTTTTGAAAGCATTACAAATACACTGTACTCTCCATCGTCTACAAAACTCATAAGATCGTAAACATCATAATATCGATGGCAAACATGATATGAAATTAGTCGCACATAGGGGAAAATGTTGGTTACGATGGGCGACTAGTCATTTGTAACCACACTAACGTCGAAATTTCGGAAACTGGGGAAACTATTGCAACTTCCAGTTGACGAGTGAGCTGTTATATATATAAAAGATAAAAAACATCCACAGATGGCTTCATGAAGCTGCAAAACCTGACTAATTATTTTGTACAAAGAAATGGATTTAACTAAGCAATTAGTGAAACATGGGTTAAAAAACGTTATCTTGTTTATCATAAAAAAAATCAAAGCACAACGAAAAGATGTAAATCAAACAGCCAGCGTTGTGAATACAAAACTATTAAAGAGTCTAGACTGATAATCGGAAAATCACACAATCCGTAGATGATCCATCTTAATTGGCGGATAGCTGCAAAAAGCGATAACTGAAAACAAGATTTTCACCGTATAAGCGAAAAGTATAGCTTTCATATGCATCGCATAAATACATCAAATGCCTTGACTAAGTTTATGATTAATCCGGGACCCGAAAAGAAAACAACAAACTGTCTACTGGTATAAAAATATTGCAACCATAACTATCCAACAGTACAGATTAAACTTCACAACAGATTTAGTATTTAAAAGCCAGACAAGTATAGATACATAAAGACCGCTGAGGGAAAGACCAATACACGGATCTCGATAGAGAGAATTTTGAACAGTTTCATTGTACCAAAATGAGGATCTTAGGAAGCAAAGTGATAACTTTATAAATATCATCCATTTGTCTACTATTAGAAAATCTAGCAAACAAACGGATGAAAATGAATCAGAAAGTGGAATTTTCTGGTGGCTGAGCAAGTCTTGAATTTTCAGATGCAGACATTTTCTTGCGGACATCCAGTAGCACATGACGTATGCAGTATCCACGAGTCCAGTTAGACAGAGTAGAGAACATTCGAGGATCAACCTAAAAAGTCGATACGAATATGAATGTATATTACGGTTTTAACAGGCTTATAATTAAAAGATAACTACTAAATATGAAACTGGTTGTCGTGTATTTTCGATTTTATGGAAGTAGTTTTGTGTCTATCCAACATATCGATAGATCGCATATTTGTTTAAAAAATGAATTCAGAACTATATGAGCTGTACACGATTTAACGATCGAACAGGAAAAAATTGTTAAGATAAGATTTACTATGTTATCCTGAATTGTTAGCTCATTCGAAGGCCCGTTTCAACAATTCATTTTAGTTAGTTGTTATCACCTGACAACACTGCAAAATTATGTATCTTATACCTACCAATATCTCATTCATTAATTCGAAAAAAATGCGCTCACAACAAATCCAAACCTCGTCTCCTTAATAACATATTATACACACTAATTTAAAGATGAAATGTGAATTAACTAGTATCAATAACTTTTTAGTATATTATCTCCGATCCGTAGCTACGTTAAGGTTAGTATAATCTTTGACAGCAATATAAGAATTGATACGCATTAACGACTAACGAGACAAAGATCACACATAAAATGCTTATACGTGTTTGGCTTTTTATTGGTAAGAAAATGGGGTAATTTTGGTGCTTCTGAATTCTCTGAGTTAAGTGGCTTAATGGCAAAGTTTTTATTGACGTTGTGGACAACATCATTGACGCTTAATCCATGTAGCAATGGGCTTTTTAGTAACTCCACAAGTCTTAAGTAAATTTGTCCTGATGACTCCCGACCGTTGTTGCTACCTTGACGTGGTGGTCGGGCTTGCCTATCGTGATGAAGCAACCGAGCTATACTGGCTGGAACAACCGTTCCTTGAGGTCCTACCATGTCAGACAGGTCGGTTGAAGAGCGGTAAGACTAAAGGCAACAAACCCAAGGTCCGAAGGCGAAGTCGTACTGCTAACTGTACAGAGGTGTGACAGCAGTAAGGTGTTTCCTTCAGACAACCAGCATGACAGCGATGCTGCCTTCCCACAAGGAGGGGTGGGGTTAGAAAAGGTCGACCCTAAAAATGCACACCTCACCTTACCTCACGGATTTCCGTCTCCGGCGGTAAGACCCTTTTGAAGAACGGAGATAACACGTCAAAAACCTCCCACGAAAAGGCTGTGCGCGACCGGCCTCAAGCAGTTGTCCCTTGGGCACTGCGGTCACGCTCTCAGGTCACTGAGACCGCCTCTAATCCAATTTCCTTTTTAGGTACCTCCAGAAGAACCCTTCCTCGATGTGGGCAACTGGGAAGTGATAACCGCCCTCATACCTCTAACAGCACCCAAGATCAATGTATTCATAATCAACCTTCCTCTTCAATTCCTATTATTCCTCCTACATCGACTTTCAACTCTAAACTTCCTCTTTCGGCTTCCTCTTCAAGTGTCACCATAGCCAACGATTCTAGTGCTCAAAACTCTGTCCCAGGTCTACTGAAAGCCCGCTCCAAACTATACATTGGAGCCTTCAACGTACGCACCCTATGTCAAATCGGTCAGCAGGCTTCCTTGGCTAAAATCCTAGAGTCTCTTTCCATTGATGTATTCTGTCTCCGAAACACACATACAGGATTCCAGTGTGGTCATTCACTTGACCTCACCTCGGCAAAACGGAGAGCCAACGAGATACACCCTCCGTTTATCTGGTGACCCGATGGCCAGCTCTCGTGGACTGGGAGGAGTAGGCATAGCACTAAGCATGAGGGCGGAACAAGCACTGTTAGAGTGGATCCCCGTCAACAGTCGTCTATGTGCTGTTCGGCTAAACGGCTCCGTAAGAACTCAGAAGGATAGGGACACACGTCGTTGCCTTTTCGTCGTTTCTGCCTACGCTCCCACTGACTGCAGCTCAGATGATGTGAAAGATGAATTTTACAGAAAGCTTTCTCAACTTCTTCAGAAAGCTAAACGCTCAGACATAGTACTCGTAGCAGGTGACTTTAATGCTCAGATAGGTAGTTTAAACCAAACAGAAAGGCATTTATGTGGGTATTTTAGTATTCCGGCACAACGAACAGATTATGGTGATCGTCTGGTGCAACTGTGCTCAGACAATCGTTTATTTTTAGCAAACACAAATTTTAAGCATAAGGAGAGACATCGTCTAACATGGCGAGCCCCTACACCAAACCAACGATGGACTCAAATAGACTATATTGCCATCAGTCATCGTTGGAGAGGGTCGGCAGAAGATTGTCGCTCATTCTGGAGTACCTGCTTGGACTCCGACCACGCCCTAATACGGGCACGCATCTGCTTGCGCCTCACTGGACGCAAAAAAGCCACATCAAAAAGACCCATTAGAACTGAGCTGAGTAACGAGAAAACCAAAAATAGGTTCCAAGAACAACTGAGTTCACAATTAGGCAGTTCTGAAGACGAGGCTGATGTTGCTTGGAAAGACATACAAGCAGCTGTGGAAACAGCAGTGACATTTATTAGCGACTTGAACCACAGAGTTACAAAGAACCATTGGATTTCTTCAAAGTCTATCACGCTGATGGATTCTCGAAAACTCGTCCCATCAGGTTACGAACATGCTGAAGAGCGACAACAAATCAGATCTAGGTTAAGAAAAAGTCTAAGAAACGACCGTGAGCAGCGGTGGGCGATGAAAGCAAAAGAGATGGAAAAGGCGGCGACGATAGGGAACACAAGACAGCTTCACAGACTAATAAAAGAAACCGGAATTAATAAGTCAAGTGTGAGATTATATCGGAAAAAGACGATTCTCTCATCTGCTCCCAGTCCAGACGTTCAGAACGATGGGCGGAACATTTCAGAGAACAGTTCAACTGGCCTTCAGCTACCCTACAACTACCCTTCATTCCCAGACAGCGTGAATGGAACATTGAAGTAGGTCCCCCAACTCTAGCAGAAGTTCAAAAGGCTAGAGTTAATCTGAAACGAGGAAGGGCAGCTGGTCCAGATGGATTTGCTCCAGAGGTCTTCAAGGATGGTGGTCCAATTGTAGCGATTAGGTTGACTAATATTTTAGCTAAAATATGGGAGTTAGACGTTATTCCATCTAACTGGTCACAATCACTTATCGTCCCAATATATAAGAAAGGGTCAGAATCATCCTGTGACAACCACAGAGGGATTAGTTTAACTAATATAATATCTAAAATACTAGCCTCGATAATTATCAGACGCCTAACTAAGACTCGTGAACTGCAAACACGAGAGAACCAAGCTGGCTTCAGACCTGGTCGTGGCTGCATCGACCACATATTCACCATTCGTCAGATTCTAGAACACAGGCATACTTATCGGCGTCCGACAATGGTGGTTTTTCTCGACTTAAAAGCAGCATTTGACTCTGTAGACCGCGAGATTCTGTGGCAGTGTCTGTCATTGAAAGGCGTACCCCAGAAGTACATAAACCTTGTAAAGGCTCTTTACTCGAACACTACTGGTCGAGTCAGAGCTTATGGCGAACTGTCATCTACTTTTGCAACCTCAAGTGGTGTCCGTCAAGGCTGTCCACTTTCCCCATTTTTGTTTAACTTCATCATAGATCTACTGATGGAAATAACTTTCTCGTCGACTGAGTTCTCGGGTATTGATCTCCATCCAGGAGGTCCACTTATCGACTTAGAATACGCAGATGACATAGTCCTGTTTGGTGAAAACGCTGACAAAATGCAGAGTCTTCTGGTAGCACTGAGCAACAATGCCAGAATGTTTGGAATGCGCTTCTCTCCCTCTAAATGCAAGTTGTTGCTTCAGGACTGGTCTGCGTTAACACCTGAACTAAGGATAGGGAGTTGACAACTTCACTCATCTTGGAAGTCTGATCAGCCCTAATGGGTTGGTGTCTGACGAAATCTCAGCACGGATTCAAAAAGCTCGTTTGGCTTTTGCCAACTTACGTCACCTGTGGCGAAGGCGAGATATCCGTCTATCAATAAAAGGAGGAGTATACTGAGCGGCAGTCCGTTCTGTTTTAATTTACGGCAGCGAAACATGGCCTTTAAGAGTAGAAGACACTCGTAAGCTACTAGTATTTGACCACAGATGCCTTAGAAATATTGCTGGCGTCTGCTGGGATCACCGGGTAAGTAATAGTGAGGTTAGACGCAGGGTATTAGGAAATGATGGTAAATCAGTTGATGAGGTTATGAATGTTCATCGACTGAGATGGTTGGGCCACGTGTTACGTATGCCTGAATACCGATTACCACGACGTGCAATGCTATCCGGTATTGGAGATGGTTGGAAGAAAGTTAGGGGCGGCCAAACCAAAACGTGGCATCAGTGCTTGAAGTCACTAACTTCTAGTCTGAGCCATGTTGGTAGATGCAGACTACGTGGTTGGGGTCCGCGTGACTATCGTAACCAATGGTTGGAGACTCTGTGTGACATGGTTCAGAGTCGATCACAATGGCGTCGGTGTATACACTCCCTGTCTTCCCTTAAATTAAGAGATTAAAATCGCTTCATACCTTTCTTTCTACGAACCAATTTTTTCTTCTTGTACTATAGCTCTATATGCAATCTTTCTCTTATATATTACCACCTTTGACCTAACCACTGCTATGAATCCGGTGTTCATCTTGTGTGCTGATGCGGTATGGCAACTTGGACCGATGCACATATGTGCCTGGTCCTACGTTGTAGCTGACTGTCCTGATGACTATGTGATTGGTTATTTTCGTAACAATACTTAGCGCCATAATATCTTGATTATCTTTTAAAATACAGAAACTAACAACATTGGTTATTATGAACAGAGGAGATAACTTTTTACAGCTTACATAACGAAAACCAAACTTGATGGATATATGTATAAACTTACTTCACCAGTATTCTCATTTACTCCGTGCATACGTATTTTAGTGACAAACCTAAATGAAAACAAAATGAGTGTATTTACTGTCGATAATTCAATTTGTTTGATAGAAAAAAAACAGTACAATATACTACATGGGCATAAACTTTATTTGAATTACACCCAACAAACATATATGTGTACTTTAGAGTAGCAATAAAAGCTGCTGCAAAGTTATAAAAAAGTCACTATAATGGCAATCAACGAATGTCAGCTTACCTAACTGTTGGAGGGATATCTGGATACTTTGGTCCACATTCGATCCGCAAATCATAAATACGATTTTCGAAAGGAGTTCGAGTAGGACCGAGAATCATTCCGTTCCATTTGGTAAGTGTTGCATCAGCCATATTTTCTAATCCCCAACTGATACTACCTTCCTGAGACCCCTTTTGTCCCTGCTCAAGTTCATCAAGAAGATAGAAATTTCGTGGAACACAAACTGTAAATCCAAATAATAACATAAAAAGCATAATTGACACCAAGCATCACTAAACGTATGAAATTACATAAGGATTGATATTAAAGCAAACTACAAACCACGAAAATTATGCTCAGAATTCACAGTTTTGATATTTTCGAAACTTAGTTCACTTAATTAGTATCTGATCCTAAAATCCAATCAAAGAGTTTGCAAACCCATTTTATTTACACTAAGCAAACTTATGTTCCGATGTAGAATTGTTTTGTTTGGAACAACAAGGTATGGATAGACGTAGAAAGAGGTGGATATATTAAAAAAACAACGTGATGAACACCATGCATGTTTTATGCATCACGATAGAAAAAGTTTAGTTTCTTTATATCAACAGACATACAGAGTGAATAGATATTTATACAGTTTTGTGATTATGATTGTGAATAAGTTGGGGTCAGAAGTAAACACTGTCGAAAATAATCATTAAGAGAGGATGTGATTACACGGGTAAAAATGTTTAAATAAGTGAAAAATTAGGAGCTTTAGGTCGACAAAAGAACGTATAACTAGATAAGTAAACGAACGACTAAGTTCATAGACAAATACTTATTGAAAGACATCGCGAGAAACTTACTGCTCACTGGTGTTTACATGGAGTATTTATGTACAGTCATTCCCTACATCATAACCGAGATGTTAATTGTGATTTTTTTGTTTCTACACCAGTGCTTACTTGCTTCTGTTATACACCAAATTGACCCTACTGAAGCTCGCTAACCGTCTAAACTCTTCAGAAATAGAATTTTAAATCTAGCCACTAATGACTATTGAGGGAAAAGACGGAAGCTGGAGCGATTTATCTAAACCAGACAAACAATAAATGTGGTTTAACTGGGCCCAGCTACACTCCTCAGCAGTTATTTGTTCTGAAAAAGTTGAACAGTAGTCTCCTGAGAAAAAATGCAAAATTAGTTGGCATACTACTATTTCATCGCTGGTCAATGTCAATCCAGCAGATGAGGCTGTGAACTTCCATAGAACGAGGTAGTTATAACATGTATTCAAATTGCTGGCCATCACCTGCTTCAGCGCATTATGCAGACCAATATAGAATTAGGTTGGGAAGAGAGTCCAAACAAAGTACTGCATGAATTTATGAAACTAAGCCATACCATGTCCTATTACAAAATACGACAAAACTCTACAAACATACTGTATGGAATGCCAGTCTTCGAAGTTAACAGCTAATATTCGGATGCAAAAGTTAATAGAATGTACTAAGACCAAATGGATATCGCAGGAATGCTTGATGAAAAAGTATATTTACAAAATGTTTCATTTCCGAAAATTTATTTAAATCAAATCACTCAAAGCTGGTAGTCAGATTTACGGCATAGAATGTGCCAAAGAATCAACACAGGATTGACTACCTGTCCAGAAAAACAACGAATACACTTGGTATTCATTTTGGATACTTCGTATATTGCCGTAAGGTTAAAAGTCTGAACATGCCCTTAACAACAGAAAGTCGGAACAGTACACATGCTTGGACAGGATTCTTACAAAACGTGAGTGAGCAGATAAAAACTTGATTTGCAATTAGAACTACACCATAAGAATAAGTGTGGCCAAGGAAACTTTTCATGGTTTCCTTTCTTTTGTTAGTAGAAGGCAGAAAACCACAGTTTATATCATGAGAAAAGCAAACTCCTAAATATATCTTCGAAATCAGTGTGGAGCGACAATACTATGCCACAAAAAGCTCACGACACCTTGGCCAAAATGGGAAGGTATAACATTCCTGTGTAAGTGAATTAAGGTGTTGATTTGATATCTGCATTTTATTCTAGTAAAGTCCAGCTTTGTTAACTTGATGACAGTTCAGCCAACTATTTAGAGTAGGATTACTAATTTGGCGTACCTAGAGGCACATAAACATTGGGACTGAAATTCGTTAAACCCGAAAATCTGATTCAATGACCTTTTAGCCGTAAAAGTCGGAACACTAGGCAAAAATGTAATTAAAACTTCGAGACTAGCCGCGTCAACTTGTGTTTGAACTTTATTCCATTAGGTATGTTGCGATGACAATTAAATGGCAATAACCAACATATAAAACTCTCTCCTCTATTTTAACACTGTGAATATTATTTTAGAACAATTATCACTCCAGAAAACCATCGGAAAGACCTTTTTCGCCCTTCGTCTCGTTATTTGGCGCTGACATCCTATATACCGCTGTTGAACACATGTGATTTTAGAAAATCAGATGAACAATGGACTCAAACCCAGTAGTTTACAAACATTCTGAAAGAGGCATCTGCTGAGAAAGAATGATAAAAATGCCCCTTTTTGTTAACAGGTAGGTGGGAATTCATATGAAGGTTTATTTACTGATGAAGTATTCTTTGGAGGTTCTCGTGGATTTCTGTGACGATTATCATGTAGTTCGTTTTTTTCTTATTCTTACAAATTCAAAACTCTTCTCGGGATAGGAGATACGACAAGTCTGAGGGTTTCAAGAAAGGCATAAATGTCTCAGGTACCCAGGCATCAACATATCTGTCTTCAATCTAAGCGAATTAGATATGCCTGAACTGTGACTTCCGGATAGCTTTTTTCGAGTAAGTGCTATTCAAAAAACAAAGCGACATTATTTCGAGGCTATCAAGAGATGACCACCACAAGACAGCACATCATTTGTTGTGGTCGTTAGTACAAATCATGTGGTTTGGTATTCCTCGTAGTTGGATTGTGTACCGTTATTTATATTTCGGCAACATATGTTTTCAAGAGATTCTGGTGGTAATTCTTTTACTTGATGGTTATCAATATTTGTACCTCATTTTTTCAACCAAAGACTGCTGGAACAAGATTTTCTAAGAGGACGTCAATTGACACAGTTGATGGTTGATGATCTGAGGTGGATCTGTATAGTACTCAAAATACTGAAACTGTTCATCTTGAGTGCAATTTGTTTCAGCTTTCAAGTATTATTTTGGCAAGGTAAGAAATTATTCGGCGAAACCCACCCCTAATATCATCAGTGGTAGTTAGGTGTTGCTGGAGAAACTCGAATTATTTAACTCGTTATAAACTGTCATTGTAAATGTCAACCCTTTTAACTGGCAAGTATTCGTATCCCATTGGTCCCAGAGTTTGAGAATTCTTGTATAACAGACGGCCTGCTAGGGTGTTGAAACACCTAGCGTGACCTAAAATCGGTGCGTGATGCTGGATTGGTGTCTAGCTCTATTACTTAAACACAATAGTTGTAAACCAGTGTTTGTCTTTTGTAAACCCTAGCTTCAACCCACAGAAGAGTTTGCTCTCATGTGTCACCTTCACTTGTAGTGTTTCCGAAAAGTTTGGATGAGATGTTCCTGATCTATAAAAGCTCATATCCGTCATACCATTTTCCTTGCAAATTAGAGGGAAATACCCTTGTAACAAGCTAATGTACATTAGTTGACTGCCTTGTGCCGTCTTCTTGAATCAGGGTACTTTTTGGTCGTTGGTAAAGTCCAGTGATTACATCAGCCTCTCAACTGAACCAGTTATAGTGAATTTGTCAGATATTTGAGGATGTTCTAATTATAAGTGGATGCATTTATTTCAGGCAAGTAAGGTTACTTACTAGCAGCTATGGCTTTGAGTCTTCTTCAAGGAGTAAACATACTGGCAGTGTAGTGAACAAGAACACGGGTGGGGACAATTGAATGTATTTAGCACAAAAATTACAGACTATCTCAATAAAATGTGAATACCATAAAGTCAATCGTCAATTTGCAAAATATCATTCCAACATATCAAACTGTACTGTTCCCGTTGCAAACACTAATCCATTGTCTCCCATTCCATTGTGCATGCGTTTTATTACAAATGCCATTGTGCTCTCGCTCTTCCTTTCTTGATCTTCGTCATCTTCTGCTGCCGGACATTACGTTCTTTTAACGCACGTTTATACTACTTATATCAATATAAGTAGCTCACACCACGCAGTACTATCCATTATTCGGCAGTGATGAAATTTATTGACTTGTCGTTCATACGTCAACTGTGGCTGAATGTAGATACGTAGAGGGATGTGTTCGAGTGGCAAAATTCAGGAGTCTTTACTCGCACATTAGTTCACATTATTACCGATTTGTAGCGTCGTACATCGTTGGTAATATTTTCATGACTTTGATTTTCATCAGTTGATTTGGTTTGGCAACCAGTTTTGTCGTTCGTTATCATCAGTAAGAATCGGTGTTCCTTAATTTAATGATTACACGTATTGGTCAAATGGCATTTTCCCTACGTGCAATGACGACATTTTCTAATAGTAAAACCTAACGTTTGTCACTAATTTGAGGTTCCTTGCAATCAAACATCTTAATCACGTATCCTGATCAACCGGCTATGAGTTATTTGCAGCGACTATTATAGTATTCATGTGTGTGTGTTTGGATGGGAAAGTTCTACCATTCATAGATTGCAAATATAGTTATTTCTTCATTATTTTTAAATTTGATGCTAACATTGCACACCGTATTAACCTCCATTATGTCCACAATTTTGTTTGTTTGCAATTACTGATATATATATTTTGAGTCATACTCAACTGCTTGGTTTTATTAAAGTCTTTGATTTCCGTTTCCTATACATCAGTACATAGTCTAAATATTGATTTTTCTGTCAATTCAGAGTGCTATACCTTTGTCTTGGATTGCTAGGGTGGCTTTTTCTGCCTGAAGATTAGTTGAACTAAGCAATGTTTTTGTCAGCGACTGTACCTGTATGAACAGATGTTTTCCAGATATATTTTACTTATTTCGTACCTAGATATACTTCCTAATACCATCTGTACACAAGTTTGTACGTTTCTATGCATCATTATTCGAAAGCTATTGCCAATTATCGTCGTTCGATAAACTTGAACCAGATTTGCTAAAAATAATAAAGTTTTGGATCAAGTAGAGTCACTGTGTCTTGACGTTATATAGCTTTTTCCGAGTCAGCAAATGGTGAATGTATGGTTTATCTGAATCAATATCCTTTCAAAATTTTTCACTGGTTTTATTTATTTATTTACCTTCGTTATGTCCACAACTTATATGATTCCGTGAATACGACTGTCAAATGTAGACATGCGGACTTATACGACCAACAAATGTCTCCCACTCCTTGGCGAACGACCTAAACTTACAATTGGTTCCTTTCGCTACCTGTTAAATTCAATTTCGGCTTCCGCGATATAAATAATACATTTCAAATATACTGGGTTTATGTACAAGTCAAAGAGAACATATCACATCACAAATAGAACATAACATTTGTACAAGGTCAAACCGGAAGGTGGTTGTAATTGTGGGAGACCATAATTAATAAACTGGGCATAACTTAAGAGTGGCGAAGCGCATAATAATGGTCTATAAATCAAAATGAAGCTTATAATAAGAGAAATATGAATGTATATAGTTTAGCTACTTGACAATTGTATAATAAAAATATATGTGTAGAATTAGTTCATTGGTGGATCCCAACACTTACCATTAATAATTCTCGTTGGTACATAACAATATTATCTAAGTGGTATCTTATCTGTAAACCCATGTTTTCGATTGTTGGTCATGCCTGTAAAGATGGCTTGACCTGCTACAAGTTATTATTGATCATAACATCATTCATATATTTAAGTGAGCAAACTTATCTCTTGTTTCTGTACCAATACGTACCAACCTAAATGAGCAACTTATCACAGTGAAGCAAGTAACGTTTTTAGAATTTTCATCCAGCCTGTAAACTGGCATGCCTCCTGTAACATTTTTATATGGAAATAAATTATTATTACTAAAACGGTGCATCATAATGATGTTAATGATTCTGTTGCCTTTATACCTGATAGGCTATGTGACGTGAACGTTGGGTTATATTCAGAGTCGAATGTCAGTAGTCATCTGTCAAAATTTCCAGGAATGTTCTGGGACGTTTGTTGGTGATTCTGTATGTTATTTGAATTTTGGCACCGATCAAGGGGTGTTATAATCAGAAGCTGGACTATCTAAGAGCGTAAAGCCTGTGTCCTAATTTTTCAAATACACTGCTCTCACAGGCCTGTCCTGACTGAAATTAATATCATGTATTATATCAAGTGACATCGTGTTTGATTTTGATCTATCACCTACTCATACTAAGTCTCCAGAATGGACGTTTCTCTTTTGTCCTTTCCAACTGTCTTGCACCTGTCGGGTAGTTATATATCTGAGCACCAACTTTTAATTCTATTTTGCTGTTCCCGCACCCTCCACTGTTGGGTTTTTCACCACGTTAAGTGTTGACTATTTTTTCCCGGTTGTCTCGTTTCAGCTTTGAAGACTTTGTGGCCCAATACCACCACACATCTCCGAATTACAAACTTTAGGTAGCGTAGCATTGTTACGTCCAATTTTCGCTCGTTCCAGTTACTGAAGTACGGACTATCGATCTATTTGTAAATTACGAACCCAAATTAACAACAGGACCAAACTCCAATTTAGATACCAAATTTATTCGCAATTCACAAATAGTCGACCAAATGTCGTTCTAACAACATTAATTATAACAATTACAAAACAAACCTTCAACTTTGTAGGTTCCTGGAGCAAAACTGCCAAATACCAAACCAACGACGAAGGGAAACCAAAATGTCCGAAATAGTGATATAAACAAACGAGTTCAACAGTTAAGTAAAACAAATACGTCCAAAAACACAGTAAACTAATTATATACAATAAAGTGGTTTTAATCCACCAAATGTCTTCAGTTCTCCTGTAACAAGCATGAATATGAAATTCGATAATATATGGACTGTTTCTAAATTGGCTGCTCTTATTTCTGGATAAATAAACATAAAACCATACTGATTTCAGGTGCAGCGTTTGAAAATAGCAGCAAACGACCAGAAACGCACCAACTCTAACACAATTAAATTGAAAATTATCTACTTCTAACCGTTAGCTCGGAGTAGGTGCCAACGTCTACTGCATCACTACGAAACTGGTTGTTCTGAATCTTATACAGCCTCCAGCCACTTTGTCACTATCATTCCCTTCTTGAAAACTTCGTATTTAATTCTAAAGCTGGCTGGAACTTGTGTTAGCAATCTTTTTAGTTGTTTACACTTAAATGTCTTCCACCAATTCCCAGTGTAATGCATCATTTGATCTTCCCTTTTTCCGTTTTCCTTCGGAATTCAAGTTAGAACATGCCTCGTGATGTAGCCAGATG